ATATAATGAGATTAGCATTTCAAATTTCAAAGTTAAAACAATAGTGTATCAAATATTTGAGTACCATCTGGAAAAGATAACAACTATACTAAACAATACATGTAAGACTAAAAATAATAATAAACATAAATTAACAAAATGTCAAACAAACATTACATAAGCTTTTGAGTCCATCTAAGGACCTGCATAAACAAAAAAAAAAAAAAATCAGAACTTCCATTCTTCCTGATCAATGTTAACTTTTAAAGTAAGAAACAGTCAGATACACGTAGATATGACTAAATGAGAATGGAATGGACCTTAATCGTTATTCACAGATTCGGTGCTTCCCGGTGGCCCTTCCTACTGCATAAACAAAATAAATCGTAACTTTCATTCTTCATGATCGATTTTAACTTTTAAAGAAAGAAACATGTAAAGATGACTAGATGAGAATGGAATGGAGCATAATCCTGTTTCATAGCTTTGGTGCTTCCATACGGCCTACCTGCTGCATAAACAAAAAAAAAAAAAAAAAATCGAAACTATCAATCTTCCTTATCAATTTCGACTTAGAGATGCGACTGGATGAGAATGAAACATAACCTAATCTTGCTTTGTAGCTTCCGTGCTTTCATGCCTACTGCATCAACAATTAACTTTGAGATGCGATGATAAATGTAAAATGAACTACTGCGATGAGAATAGAACAACCTGTTCGAATTGAGAATGCAAATCGGAAGTGGAAGAGTTATGGAAAACGAAAACCATCCAACGAAAACTTGGAAAGGACGGAGGCGATCAATGATGAATATACGATTTCTGATTTATGTATTTGTGCTGATTAGGGTTGCTACTTATTGCCTTACTGGATTAGAGGGAACGGGATTCACACAAAAGGGATTGGGCTGTAAGTTATTAACTTGCTGGGTTATAAATTTTTATTACTTATATATAAAAATTAATGTATAATAAAACTACATGCAATTATATATAAAATAATTAACTAACATATATTTATATAAATCCTACGGTCCGGTCTGGTTTTATATGGTTTGAAAATCTTGAAACCGCAAACCAAACCGTTCACTACAGTTTCGAAAGTTTGAAACCGCAAGCCAAACCGTAAAAATAAATACAAATCGTGAAACCAAACCGGTGTCCGGTTTGGCCGGTTTCACGGTTTCAAACCGGACCGTGAACACCCCCAGGTGTACTTTTGTGTAATTCCAATTTCAGTTTATGAACTTTCAAGATCCACATAAAAATAATTGAACTATTAAAAAACTTAGTCCTATTTAACATGTTTGTTGCATCATTCAGCTGACATTTTACCATGAGTATAACTAATATTATACATTTCTTGAAGCCTGGCATTTCTTGTAGATATATTGTTTCATTCACTTAAAGAGACAAGTGAATGAAACTAAGAAGACAAGTGTATAACTAATATGTAGCACCCGACGTCCATGCTACTCTTGGTAAAACAAATTTATAGTGTACTTTTTCCATTCATGTTAGTAATTTCTCATTATGATATGTTGTTTCTTGTGTAATTTTATTTTTAGGAGGTATTTTACTTTATTAAATGTTTAAAGTTACAGGACATGAGTATGGGCACATCATGGAAAATTTTAGGGCAGTTGTTGGTCTTCCTCTTGGTGATCCATCAATGAAGTGGCCAACTTGCATCATGTAATAACATTTTAGGCGAAGATGTAGGTATATGTTTTTTTAATGAATAGTGTAATCATATGTATGAATATGAAATAAAGTTTGTTATTTAGTATGTGATAATCATGTATAGGGAGAAAACAACTTCTATTGATTTGTTTTATCTTTCCATGGATCGATTATTTGTATGACATTAAATTTTATGCAATGGATTGTATTTTTTGTATATGGTATTTTATTTTCTGTTATGAGACATTAAATGCAAATTTAATTTGAAAATTAGTAAATCTATAAATAATATTTTTTGTAAACATTTAAAATTACGATACGCAAATATGTGTGTCATCTTCATTTACGACATGACCTTTCTTGACAGGGGCTTCCTTGATACACATTGCGTGTCATAAACACGCGCATGGTAATGTTACGACACGCAAATGCGTGTCGTCTTCCGTTATGGCAGGGCCTTCCTTGATACACATTGCATGTTATAATTGTGCGTCGTAAATGCGTGTCATAAATGCGCGTCGTAAATAGACGACGCACAAAAGCGTGTCGTCTCTCGTTATGACAGGGCCTTCATTGACACGCATTTCCGCATCGTCTGAGCATTTTACGACACGCATTGCACCTCGTAAAAGGTTGTTTTTCTAGTAGTGTTTTTTAATACTTATCGTTCTTTCAGAATGTAATTCTGCAAGAATAAGAACTACTATTATTCTAACAGAATGTTTATAATACAATTCTGATACAAACATAGAAACATAATTCTAACAGAATACGTGTGATATCATATTTGTTTGCCTTATATGACTTATAACAACATTTTATTCTTTAATATAATGGCATATATTTATTTTTCTTCAGATAACATCACAACTAGCCACAAATTCAGATTTTCGAAAGCGTTTTCACTCTATAATTTGGAATTCTAAGCTGGAACCACATGATTTTGATAAAGCATGGCAATCTTGTTTAGATGAGTTTAAGATTTCAAATAACAAGTGGATGAAAGAGATGTATGGGTTGTGGAGACGTTGGGTACCTGCTTTTTTTCAAGGACATACCAATGTCTGGTCTTATGAGAACTACATCATTGTCTGAAGGCCAAAGTTGGTCATTTCAAAACAACACCCGTACCGGTTCTTATCTTTTAATGTTTATGATGACTTTTAAGGGTGTAATGGAACGTCACAGACGCAATCAATTTTTCAATGACTTTAAAACTACTACAACAGTTCCTAGATTCATCACATCTAGTCCAAACAAACCACATGCTTCAAAGGTCTACACTTGTAAAATATTTTATCAGGTTCTGAAAGAGATTTCAGATTCTGAAAATACTTGTTTCCAAATGAGTGTTACTTCTTGCAATGGTGTTAACACTATTATTGTTTTGGAGAAGCAAAAGAACATAAGCACAATGCAACCAACAAGTCCTATTGTTGATGACAAACTTGAGGAATACCATTACGATTGTCTTACAAAGGATACCCAATACACAGTATGTTCTTACTTCACTATATAATCATTTCTTTTTAATCACATAATAAGAGTTTCTAACGTATAGTCATATACTATCATACATGTTACAGGTTACCCACTCAATAATATAGGGTTCATTCAAGTGTACATACATGCATTTTAAGCATGTCGGTCTTTTGTGTAGGCACAAATTATGTGTTTTTAAGTTTTACAATATTGAACAGATTTCTGAAGAATACATTATGAGATGTTGGTGTCAGGATGTTATTCTAACAGAATTACTTAAGAGGTGTTTCTCTAATTTTTTTGTTGATTCAAATTCCGATATGATGGCTATTGAAATTTTTTCAAATGTAGATCATTGCGTTGATATGTATATTTATATGTATATATTTTTATATGCATGAATGTTTATATGAATGTGTATATGTTATATGTATGTCAGCATGTTTTTGTGTATGCATGTGTATTTATGTGTGTATGTATATATATGTAAAGGGTTTTATGTAATGCTCGATTCCCAGGTAAATCCTTTAAGTTTAAATATTTAATTATGTTGCATGGAATGCCATTATACTGGGTGTAACTGAGAGTTACGCTGAGTGTAGCTCATTAAACTTGGACGTGGGTTCATCTTGAGTACACCGGGCGTACCTAGAGTACATTGGGCGTACGCATGCAAGATGCAGACCCAAATTTTAGGGTTTGGACCCTATAAAACCTCATTATCTCCCATGAGGATAGCCTTATATTCAACCTCCATCCTCTAAAGTAGTCCCCTTGAAACCCTATTCTTATTTATGATATTCTTGAGTGATTTGGGTTTTGGCATATTTTGGTCCCATTGGTTGACTCTTGTGAGTAAAAACCACTCCAGAAGCTTAGTGTAACACTCGGGTTAGGTGCATGTTATTATTACTATTATTATTACTAAGTTAAATGTTTTCAATTTTAGCCCTTCTCACAACGTGAGGAATGATTTTCGCATCGTGAGGAGTAATTTGGACTTGTGTATCATTTTGAGGCTCATGGCATGAGCAATCCAATGCCTTCCTTGATTCGAGTACTAATCGTATCTCGAGGGATCAAATATACTACAAGTTCCCCAGATTCATCTTAGACTTCCTTGATTTGAGTACGGATCCTCCGCTCTCAATAGTACGCACTACTAGAAAAACAGCCTTTTACGACGCTCATTGCGCGTCGTAAAAGGCTCAGACGACGCGCAAATGCGCGTCAAGGAAGGCCCTATCATAAAGAGAGACGACGCGCATTTACGACGCGCAATTACGACGCATGTTTACGACACGCAATGCGTATCAAGGAAGGCCCTGTCATAAAGGAAGTCGACACGCATTCGTGTGTCGTAACCTTACGACACGCGTGTTAATGACATGCAATGCGTATCAAGAAAGCCCCTGTCAAGAAAGGCCATGTCATAAATGAAGATGACACGCATTTTTGCGTATCATGATTTTAAATGTTTTAAAAAAATATTATTTATAGATTTACATATTTTCAAATTAAATTTCTATTTAATGTTTCATAATAGAAAATAAAATATCATATACAAAAACTAGAATCCATTGCATAAATTTAATGTCATACAAATAATCGTTCCATGAAAAGATAAAACAAATCAATAGTAGTAACAAAAAATTTACAAACGAATTAGATACAAAAAAATACAATCCATTGCCCCTTTGCTTATTCAAGATCAACCTGCAAGTAGCTAAATAATATGTACAAATTCACCCTTGTTTCTAATCATTTTCTTAAATACTTTACAAACATCCATAGTACCTGAACTATAGTTATTGCAGCCTTGTTTCTTCTTCTTCTGAACTCATCCCTTGCAACCATTACTCTAAGCCTAGTCTGAATAGATACAACAGCTCCTTGTACACCTCGTTTCCATCTTTATATGACACAACCAAATGCTCACCAGTAGCATCGCATGCTATCTTCTCGAAATTTTTGCCAAATACTTAGACCAGGGAATCTACTTCTTCCATGAATGGTCATAATTTTATCCTGCAAACACAGTACCCTCTTTCCCATGGCTTTCAAGGTTACTCCGTGTTGGAGCAAGAAGATGCGGACCTTGCAATCCAGAAACATATAATTCAAACATCAACAAACTTGGGTAGCTCTTGGATTGTTAGATAACATGCCACATAAAATCGAAACCAGAGTATTAAAAGTACGAAACAAAGTTTGGTTAGGATAAGTGAAAATTAATGAATATTCTAATGTTTGATGAATATTCTAATGTTCTAATATATTAATAACTCTAGGAAGAACAACCACTGTGCTTTTTGACCTCCCTGATACGAATGTTCTAATGTTTTAACATATGAATATCTCTAGGCAGAACAACCACTGTGCTTTTTGACCTCACTAAACTCAGCATGATAAGAACTATAAAGTAACATAAATATATAGAACAAAAAGATATACTTAATTTGATGATGAGCTTCTGGATATGTAAATGTGGTTGTATTTTGTTATTAGAACCTACCAACAAAATCTATATGCATGTGGAATAGCAGGTCCAAAAAAATCTATATATATTCAATAAGCAAATTAGGTTATAAAAGTGATAAAAATACCTAGGTAGTGTATGCATAGTTCATCAGTAGTTTCAGGGATCAACTGTTCACAGAATCAATTTGAATTGCTTGATATATGGTCAATGGCTGGAAATAAAACCAAAATAGTCAAATTTTATGGCTTAAATGAGAAAAACACAAAAATATAAGTATGTAACCATATATACTAAATCTAATACAAACATTCTATGAAGTATATGAAACTACATTACCCAGTGAAGTTGGATAAAAAAGGAACCTGCTGCTGACGGCTATGGCTTGTCACCGATTGAGTCCCCTAAATTGAGTTTGGATAAACCTACAAGCTGATCCACATTGATGGGGGTCTTGGAGTGGACTGTTGTGGGTTTAAGAACCTGATGAGACTCTGTTTTAGCTGCTGGTGCGGGCCCACCCCAAAAGGGCACCACCAGCAGCAGCGTAACACTTGTATTGTGCCTCTTGCACCAAGTTCATACCTGGCTCCACAATGTTTGAGCTAGAAGAATCCGTTGATTCACATTCATCCTCATCTTCTTCTTCTTCTTCTTCTTCTTCTCCTCCTCCTCCTCCTTCTTCTTCTTCTTATTCTTCTTCTTCTTCCACTTCTTCTTTTTCCTCCACTGTAGGAACACACATTTTAGATTGGGTCTCTCCATCATGGGATTGGGAACCCATCATATTCATACCAGCATCAAGAGGTTGCGCAAATTCAATAAACCATATTACATCAATGCATTATACATGTAAATAATCTAAATGTATATTGTATAAGATACATACATCATCCGACACCAGAGAATGGAAGAGTAAACATGACTTTTTTTTCAAATCCCATGATAACTTTAATTAAGTCCATGACAATAAAAGATCCAAAAGGCTTATATTTATATTTATATAACATTACCTATGCTAAAAACTCTTTGAACTGCACAAGGAAATCCCGTATGTGGTTCTTAAATGTATAAAGGTCTGATCTTGACTCAAATAGTCCATTCACAAATTTCGCAACCTAGGAGAATTACATTACATCCCTCCATCAGATATCTAAATATAACATAAATAAACAAACATCACTTGCAATTGTAGTTTTTATCATACTCCTATACTAAATTACCAAAATAAATTACCAAGCATTTCACTCATAGATTGAACCAACTGCATTCCATCTCACCTGTATTCCCCCCAAAAATGAAAAAGATCCACGTGCATGCCTACGCTTGCTGTTTGAAGGAGGACTCTTTTTCCCACTTCTGGAAGTCAACATAGATTGAACAGCTCCAGAAATGATGGAACCAAACCTAAGTGTCATCAACATCAGTATTCATTCATTCAACTGATGATAGATAGATAGATAGATAGATAGTCTTGGAAGAAAAAAAAAAAGTTAAAAACCACTGTCTATTACCGCAAAGATGAGAGAAGTAACCATGTAGGTTCTTTTTCAACCTTAGCAAACACAGTGTTTCGGCTAGCTTCTGATAGCATTTTTCTAGCTACATCAAGCATTGTTCTGGGAAATCTTTACCAAAATAAATAAAAAGTTAAAAACCATTGTCTATTACCACTTCAGCATCATAATTATGAGAAAGTTCAAACTGTTACCTGGCCGGATAACCAAGAGGCAACTTTGGGGAGACAGATGCAAGTGCAACCAAAATTGTAGCTTGTCCACTTAAGGACTAAAGCTCAACCTTGAGATTGTTTCCCTGTATTACATTTTCAGAAAACAATATATATAAACAAGTGAAGTAACTAAATTTCAAATTCCTTTTAAAAGAAAACTAGGTCTTTGAAAAGAATCAAGACTTTGCTGCTTCTATTAATAAGTCTAACAGTTTGGGCATGCAGGGGCATAATGGGAAAAGTAGTGTGATTCCAAGTGGAAAAGAGGAAAGAGAGGAAAAGGGCATGGGTAGCATGGATATACAAAAGCAAATTATTGCTGGTAATTATTGCTGGTAATTGTTGGTGATGAATTTCTACATTAAAAATTATAAGTTTCTATCAAAAGTATCCAAACTTTCACATAATGATAGCTTTAAATATTCACCAAATGTCTTAAATACCCTTTGATAATGATGCAAAAAAAGGCTTATAATTCTCAGACTTGGAATTTATAGGAAATGTACCTCATAAATAGTCATTTCTTTGCAAAAAGAGGCTACTGATCTTTTGGAATTGTCATCAGCTACCAACTCTTCGTTACTAATGACGATTTTACCCCTATCAGAAATGCTAGTGTATATAAGTGGTCGTTAGGGTCATTGCTGGAAGATTCTGAAATTTTCCCTACACCAGTAAAAAGAGGGTTAAGTGATTAGAAATAAATCTTTATACTATTAAAAAATAACATGTGAACAAACCTACACATATCAATTATCTGTTCTAGGATTAATAACTGAAATTACCTGTCTTGACCCTCTCCAGCTGCTACTGCAAAAGACTCAACCCTGTCATTGTACAAGCTTTTATTCCCACATGCTAATATCATATCAAAAAACAAATATATTTATTTACTACGCTACGCATAAAAAATAAATACCATCATAAACAGGATATAAATTTACTAAAATTATTTGGCATTTCCCCATGGTCTATAGCAGCAACACCACCTTGTTGATTTTCTGCGGCTACACGTATCATCATGTTGAAAAGCAAACCACCTGCATGAAAATTGTACACTTGACTCTCTTTCAGGCGTCCCATTGTTGAAAGCAAACCACATGCATGAAAATCAAGAAATGAGACTTTCTTTCCCTAACTTTTTACGAATTTGCCCTTACCTGACAAATTGTGCAGAAACTAAGTTCTTGATCAGCAGATGAAACAACTTCCAACTTAGAAGACATAAATACCCTTGTTTACAAATAACCTGAAATAAAATCCTCTGATAACCTTGATCCAGCATTCCCAATCTGCTCACCTAATGCAAGAAGCTCCTGCATACACACAAAAGGTCAATTTCGTAATTTGACTAAAAAAGAAGCCAATCTTTGTATACTCATAAGACATATGATCAATATCCATACGCATATCTCTATGATGATCAACTCTTCATCCATAATTAGAAATATCAAGCATTGCAACACCCTGTTATTAGAAAAAAAAATTAATAAAAGGAATTTCATTTTCTTGCATGATTTGATTATGAAGAGAGTAATATTTAATAATAATAATTAACATCTTCAGGAAGAACTCTTAAATGTGGAAAGTCATGTGGTCTTTCCAAGCTCGGTTAAAAGAGGGGTTTATGTAGAAGCTAGTGTTTATAAAAATCCACAGTTCCATTGAAGGAAAAAAGTTAGAGCATCAATAGAGATGAAGATTGAAACCTGCTTGAGATCTGGTCGAGATAAATTGGACACGACAAAGAAATTCAACGCACTGTTCTTCAATGTCAAATAAATTGAGAAGATGGTCTGATTCACCTGTCGTTCAATGAAATGATTCAAACAGAAGCCCTAATTTTAAAAGACGATAGCTATACTAAAAAAAGAGAGTCAACATGAGAAGTATCAAGAGGTTCACATTACCTTGGAGACGACTTGAGAAGTATTAATCAAAAGTTTCAAGATCTCTCTGCTACAATGGTTCAATCCCGCATTTTGATTTCGCCACAACCACCACAATGGTTTTGACTAGCGATTCAGTATAGGGAATAAACCATACAAAGGCTATCAAATAACCCTTGGAGTGAAATTAAAGAAACCGTGAAGATTTTAGTGGATAGATGAAGAGTGATTTTAGTGAAGAGATGAAGAGCTGGGGAGGGGACGAAATCGATTTCTAACTGAAAAGAAAAATCTAATTGAATAGATAAACCTATTAAGGTGGCGGTCAGGGAGGTGAGACGGGACGCAATCACAGGTGTAGTGGAAGAGTCACATTCGTAGTCATCAGTGCGATGGAGGAGTCGCACACCCAACTGAGAGTGAAACCATTTAGTTATAAGTATTAGCTTATCGTTGGTCGATTTGTAATGAGGAAGGCCTGACGTCGCTGGAGGAGAAGTGGCGAAGCATAGTAATGCTCAGGTGCATTTGTAACTCTCGTGGAACGCCTTAGAGGTACAAACTCGTCAGTCGGATCAACATGAGTTTCCTCCTCAACTTGATTGCTAGGATTTGAGGTTCCTTCACCACTTGACTCTTGAAGTTCTTCAAGGTCAATTTGCCTCCCATTGTTTCCTTGGCTCATGAACTCTCTTTCACGAAAGACTCCTCTCCTTGAAACAAAGACCACATTCTCACTGGGTCTGTAGAAGAGGTAACCAAAGGATTTTTGTGGGTAGCTGATGAAAATACACCTCTCACTTCGAGGTTCGAGCTTATCGTGAGTCTCATGTCTCACAAAAGCCTCGCAACCCCAAATCTTGATTTGGTCCAAGTTGGGAACTTTCCCAGTCCACATCTCATGAGGTGTTTTGGCAACCTTCTTTGTAGGGACTAGATTAAGGATATGGGCGGCAGTCTCTAAGGCATACCCCAAAAAGAGATTGGTAGCGAAGCTCGACTCATCATAGAGCGAACCATGTCCAATAAAGTTCGATTCCGCCTCTCAGGTACACCATTCAGTTGTGGTGTCCTTGGAGGTGTCAATTGTGAGACAATCCCACACTCCTTAAGATAGTCGAGGAACTCTGTGCTAAGATACTCACCACCTCGATCGGATCGAAGCATCTTAACGTTCCTACCCAATTGATTTTCTACTTCATGTTTAAACTCTTTAAACTTATCAAAAGTTTCTGACTTATGCATTAAGTAGACATAACCATATCTACTATAATCATCAGTAAAAGTCAGGTAGTAGTGATTAGCATCCCTTGTGGCGGTTTTGAAGGGTCCACATACATCGGTATGTATAAGGTCCAACAAACCCTCACCCCTTTCACACGAACCAGTGAAGAGTGATTTTGTCATTTTTCCAAGAAAACAAGATTCACAACTATCATCTAACTTTAGGTCAAATGACTCCAAGACTCCATCCTTTTGGAGTTGGCTTATGTGTTTCTTGTTTACATGTCCAAGACGACAATGCCACAATGATGCTTTATCTAAGCTAGTAGAAGAATCAATACACAACACATTATTTCCTAGGTTATCTACAACCGGCACAGTTTCATACACACCATCACAAGGTAATGCTTTAAAATACAGAACATCATTAAAGAAAGCATTAATACTACCAATTTCGTTATCAAAAGAAAAGGTAAACACTTGTTTGTACAAACTATGAAAGAAAATAATATTCCTCTCCATTTCAGATGAGTAAACACATTTATTCAAATCTAACTTTAACCCACTATCTAGCAACAAAGTATAAACTCCAATCTTGGTAACAGATGTAACATTCTTATTCCCCATGATTAAGTTTATCTTTCCGTGCTCCACATCCTCACTTCTTCTTAGGCCCAGCAAATCACAACATATATGAATACCACAACCTGTATCAAGAACCCAAGAATTAGAATATGGTGAGTTATTAGACAATATAGTGTAAATACCTGCATGGGATGGTTTCACTTTCCCATCCTTGACATCCTGCAAGTACTTTGGGCAGTTTCGCTTCCAATGCCCTTCATTCTGGCAATAAAAGCATTCAGCATCCTTAGGGATGGAAGAAGGAGTAGCTGAACCACCTTTGGTTCCACTCGATGAGGAGCCATCAAGAGACTTTCCTTTGGTACCCTTCGAACAGGTCTTCCTCTTCTTCCCTTTGCCTTACCCGATAGCCAAAACAGGGGTAGTTGTAGGAGTAGGAGTAGTAACAACCAACTTACCTTTAAGACCACTTTCGGCGGTCGTCAGAAGTCCTTGAAGCTTTCTGAGTGTTTCTTTCTTCCTTGTTCATGTGGTATGTCATGCGGAATTTATCATAACATGAAGGTAAGTAGTGTAAAATGATGTCAATTGCCAACTCCTCAGGAAAGTTCAGATTCAATTTCTGCAAACGGTCCACATACCTTTGCATTTTCTGCATGTGGCCCGTGATGGGTTCACCATCCTTCATTTGGGTTGTTATCATGGAGGAGTTATTTCATATCGCTCTTGATGAGAACTCTGATGATAGCGGTCCATCAAATCCCGATGCATCTCAAAAGGATAGTAGTCCCCGTAGGACTTTTAGAGCTCGGCTGTCATAGTGGCTATCATGATGCATGCCACTTTTGTAGCATCTCTTTCATGTTCCTCATATACAGCGACCTCCTCAAGATTTGCAGTCAGTTCAAGATCCTTAAGCTCCTTGTCGAGGACATATTCCATGTCCTTGTAACGAGTGACCATCCTGATGTTCTGGATCCAATCCATAAAGTTGGAACCATCGAAGATGACTCTCCCACAAAGGTACGTGAGAGAGAAGGAGCCACTAGGGTTAGAACCCGAAGCATTGTTGGAAGACATCTGAAAAGGAAAAGGACAAGTTAGATTAAATTTATAGAGTCCTTAATAAGACACCCAAATGTAATATTAAGGCTAGGACCCAACACAATATATTATAACTTAGAAGAGGGATGTCGTAATGTAAGCTATAACATATTTGAAGGTAAGTGAACGACGATTCAACAATTTCCACCATGAAAAACGAAATGAATTATTAGGTTTAATTGGTTTGAAATTCCTAGATGCTTTTGAGATTCATTGAACTTTTCAATGGCATGTTTCAATCTCGAGTGTGCCGTTCAGGTTTTGTGACTGGGATGTTGAGGATCACAAAACAAGGTGTGAATAACCATGCAAATTCACTTGGCACCCTTAGTATTATCACCTAATCGATGTGTCAATTAACCAAACACGCTCCACCGATCCATGATAAACATTAAGTCACCCTTTGTTATCCTTACTAGTCCAAGTTAGTGTGTCGGTTAACCACACACGCTCCACCAACGACTTGGTAAGGTACAAAGTGTGAATTTCATGGGTTAACACCATTTTCACATTTTCCTAAAGTAAGTAAGATTAGGAATTACTAAAACATTTAGCTACTTTATAATAATCATTATACTTTTAATGAGAATTAAAGTCATTGTTCTACCCATTCGGCTAACGACCCTCCACCGATCAAAGAAGCAGTGGGTGAGAGTGGACACCCATTAAGCTGTCATATTATAGGCAACAACCTTATACCCCCCCCCCCCTTATAGACCGGCTTCATGAATGAGGCCTACTAACGGTAAAACGAATTGATCGTATACATATACATATACATATATATATATATATATATATATATCTATATATATATATATCTATATATATATGTATATATATATATATATATATATTAACCACTAATCTTATAATAGTATAAGGGTTGAATTTTAACTTTTAAAATCCTAAGGGTTGGAATTTAAAGTGTGTGTGTCTTTACAAATTCCAAAACTTGAGGGAAAGTTCTGAAACTCTTCAAAACTTTTCATTTCATAACTTATGAGTTAAGGCTTCATAAAAGTGAAGACTCTTCATGTTTGTGTAACTTATGTGTTTAAATGTTCATTAAAAGGGTGACCTTTGGAAATCCATAACTTAAGGACAAATTATGGATTCCATTAAAACACATAATTGATCAAGAATTAATTATTAAACACTTTAGCAAGTAATTCCTATCGTCTAACAATAACTCTTAAGAACCTGAATATCCATATCAAAATTTCAAGAACATATGAACACATATAAACATGGAATTTTGATATTAGCCATTGTAAATGG